TCGAAACCTTGTCATCCAATTTTTAATAATAGTGCATCATTACTTTGTATGATATTTAAAATATTCTAGTATTGGTTTTGTAGGGATTTTCGTTTGATTTCATGGAGGATTTTATCATCATCTGATATCAGTTAGAGAACCTACAAAACCAATACTAGAAAATTAATCTGATGCTCACTATCGCTGACTGGCCCTATTCAGTCAATTAACCTGGGGTTCTAGTGGGAAACCGTGACCAGTAGGGTACAGCAGGTTGAAGATGAGGTAGTAACTCATCAAAGAAGAAGACATTGTGAAATGGTCGCGCTATGTCGTGAATTGGCAGAAGTTAGAATTCATGGGCTGGCCATTGGATCGGGTCCCAGTGGCTCGATGGTCTACGAGCTCGCCTTGTAACCAGGAGGTCCTGGGTTCGAACCATAACGGCGAGTGGGTACTGCTGAAGAGTTCCAAACTAGCCTGACGAAACAGCCGGCTGTCCAATACTCCCAGGTTTTCCAGTGATTCCCTAACTGATGTCAGCTCATGATGAAATCCTCTATGCAATATTTAAAGTAAACTTATTCAGTATGGAGTTACATTTTACCCCAGTGCCCAAGTTCCACACTGACATCCATTATTTAAAAGTTAATCTGATGAGGTGCTATTCCACCTCCTACTATTACTGATTGATGTGGATGGTATTCAACTACTCATGCCAGTCAAATACTAGCATAAAACTTTTATGCATTTATGCTTGCTTTCTTAATTATCAGTTTTAATGGTATTAAAAATATTCATTCAGACATCTATAAAACACAAAATAATATCGATTTGTTAAGTGAGACCAGAATGGAATTACTGTTTACTTAAGATGCTTACATTATAATAATAATAAAGATATAGCAAATAGAATATCAACTAAAATTAGGTGGCACAGTGGTTAGGACTCTCGCCGACCATGCACATGGTCCGGGGTTCGAGCCCACGCCGGCGCACACCTGATATCTATGGTCGGCCTGCAAAATTTGGGCTACCGATATCCATGCTGAAAATTCCATACTTGTACCAAAAATACAGTGTGGAATCAAGCTGTAAATAATAAAAAAAAAAAAATTCAAACTGAGATGGCCAGTGTGATAAGGACAATGTCTGAACTCTTAGAGAAAAATTTATTCGCAGCGCTATTCTATCTCACCGAGTGGATACAGAACACAAGATTGATGTTAACGAGGCTGCTTTCAAAGTCATTTACCACATACCTACAAATCCTAACTTCACCTTAAGAGTTCGACTACTAAATATTGCTGAGGCTGGCTGGCCGTTGGGATCCACCTTAACTAAGAAGCCTAATTTATGTATCCAAAAGAAGGTAGTTCAGACATTGTCCTGACCACCACCTTGGCCATCTAGGTTTGAATGATCCCCAATTTTTGTGGGAATTTCCTTAATTTTATTTGATATTCTATTTGCTATATTTCTATTATTATTATTATTATTTATGCATCTTTAATGAACTCTGGTAATTCCATTGTGGTCTTACTTAACAAATCGATATTATTTATAAAACACTACCATTGTTATTGACTACTAATCTAGAATATTCTATGTATATAAGCATACATATATAATTGTAGAGCCAGAAGAGAAATTTATCGAAAAGGGGATATTCTTTGCTCGATTATTTTGTGTATTAAACTGATAACATATTGTAGTCTCTAACTGTGTAAACTGTAAATTTCTGATCTGTGTTGTGTGTGAACAATCCACCCAAGTAGAGCTAACCGGTAACAGTGGATTGTGTATTGAGCTAATTCAACCATCTGAATTGAGTCAGACCAGTCACATCATTACTGATGGACTCAGCGCTCAAAAATCACTACGATGTATGGATATAGCCAGTACTACTGCAGCCTGATGCAAGTAGTGTCTGCGTACGTCTGTTCCCCTGAGTCAATCAGCAGTTATGGTCACTACTACTACTGCTACTACTACCAGCTACCACCTTCATAGGAAAGAATGCCCATCTTGTTTTTGTTTTTTTGTTTTTTTTCTCTTCCTTCTTCTATTCTCTAAATCTTAGATTCAATCAGTTGTTGTTGTGCTGTTTTTTCCTTTAAGTATTTTCCCAGAGTATATTGTTGTTCCAGTATTGAGACATTAAAAATTAACCAAAAATACCTGTGAAAACCAATAAATAATATTGATTTTATTCTATGGAATATTATTATTATTATTAGTAGTAGTAGTATTAATGACATCCAATCAGGCTGGCGTCTTGTGCTTCTTCTCCTTCTCTTTTTCCTCCTTATGTTTGCTCTTCTCCGCATTTAGCCCTCCACTCCTCCTCCCTCGCCCGTTTGTTTCGCTTTCACCCTGAGGATATTTTGACTTTATAATCGAAAGTGAGAGAGAGAGAGAGAGAGAGGGAGCGAATAACATTAATGCTGTTTTTGGAAGAAAGATGGGAAAACCTCATCAAAAATTTTTAGCATAATAACGAATTTATTTATCTTGCGTGTGTGGACGGTGGATCTATGTCTGTTGCATGTGTTGTGTGTGTGTGTGTTTGTGGGTTTGGTTGGTTGGAGTGAGATGGTTAAATAACTGTAACCAAGACTTCGCATACATATGTGTGTGTGTGTCTTCACAACATTATTGCATAACACTCACTCACTGATGGATGGATGAATGAGCGGTATTCAAAATTCACATGAGAGAAAAAAGAAAAAACAGCCAGCCAGCAAAATGAAAGTCAATTTTTGTACTCCCCACAGGTGGTCATTATTGCTTTCTTTATGGGGTAGAGAATAGATGTTTCGTGCATGCTGCAGGCTATATGAAGCCTGATAATGATGATGATCACTCATCCAGTTAAGTTGTGTGTCTTTCAGACTAGACAACTGCTACCTTGTCATGGTAGTCGGTCTTGAATACCATAATGACCCAACATGCTATAAACTGACTGGGACTATATCCCTGCAGGTCCTACCATGTCAAGAAGGTTGTTTGGATAGCGGTTAAACTAAAAGCAGTTAGTTACCATGGCGGTACATGGGCTCCAGTATCCAGTAGGATCAAATGGCGTATGCACCCATATGGGTCACCGCCAAACATGGGAATGCAGCTCCTGACGCTGCTCTGGTCGCCTTGCGGATTAGACTCCAAGTCAAAGGCTCGGGGGTGGTTCCTTAATAAAGCCACCTGGTTCAGTCTGGGCGCCCTGGCAGTATCTCAGCCCTCACATAATGAATTGAATCAAGCAACATACAATCAGTGAAACTTATCGCGTGCTATTACACGTGTTGCAGTTTCCTTCTTTCTTCCCTTCCTGATGATAGTTAACGAATACTGTTTGAACTTGTTAAGTAGTATGACTGTTTTCCTTCCAGATGAAGTTCTTTATCCGTTCTCTACTTATATGTATTTTTTTCTCTTCTTTCTTTTTTTTCTTTTCATCTATGTTGTTTTATTATTATTGTGTGACGTATCCTTCTTGGTGCCATATTGTACCAAGTTTTTATGCGTTTAAATAAAATGATTAAGTAAGACTGGATTGAATGCTGCTGCGGTAGAGGTAGTTCAATCGCGAGGCTGAATAACTCAGTAGTAACTAACGTCTTTAACTGCAGGCGGCACTGGATGACTCGGGATATGGGTACCTTCATCAAAGCGGTAGCAGATACGCCTTGTTGACTGGTGGCGATTGTGGGTGTCAGCTAGCACGAAACCTAAGTCAGGTGAGGCTTCCTCTGGCTGGATTGCCTCCAACCATCTAATACCAATAATTTCATTATAGAGGAAATTTCACTCAGTGATACTTTTCACAGATGTGCGGTGGTAGTCCCACAAAGAGTGAATGCATCTGCGCCAGCCATTGACAATGAGGATTTTGAGCCATATTACCGATTGTCTCCAGCCATCGCCATTGGTTCTTACTGTCATCCTGAGGACCCCGACTAGCCAGTGAGGTAGTCTACACCTCCCTACGTGTCTGGTTGGCTGGCTTGCTTAGACTAACGGTTGTGGATTTGATTGACTGATGAAGTCATGTTTCGGTCTGACCACCACCATTAGCTCACTCTTTTCCAACGTGATCCATCCTATGTCGGCTGCTAACATTGCCCGCTTTCGAGGAAGACGATGGATAGGCTGGGCTGGGCAAGTGTAACACATGTCCTAACCATCTCTCTCAATTGGTGTAACTTCGCAACCTCGTCGATTGATTTCCCCTTCAACTGACCTAGCATTAGACTGAGGCCTAACCTCAATATTGCTAATCACCTAAAACACATGGGAGATAGAATGCAGACAGGTACCTATGATGAAATACAGCTTGCGAGCTAGCTAGCCAGGCTTTTCATATCTTCATTTTTCAATGGGGACCATGTCTCTCTTACAGCCAGCCATAAAGGAGGACAGAGCGTTCGAGAGAAGTGGTGGTAGGGAAGTGAAAAAAAACAACAAGGGAACTGGTTGTCAAGTCTTGTTGGGACTTACTCTCTAGCAGTACTTACCACCCACCAGGGTTCGAACTCAGGTCTTTCTGATTACAAGGTGAGCTAACTCGTAGACTATTCAGCTGCTTCAAAATGCTGCCATTGAATAACCCATGAATTACCCAACTTCTACCGATTCGTGGTATGTATGAAATAATAAATTTTTGTTTTTATTGGAGGATGGATTCATTCTCGTCTTCATCAACTGTTTTGTATAAAATAGTCGGTTTCTGGTGTGGAACATAGGGCTTCAAGCTAGAGCTTTGAAATTTCAGTAACAATGGTGCTTTTTTACGGGATGGGGGTGCTAGCCTCATGCTCAGTCTTCCCTCTCTGTCGGGATTATAACCGTCTAAGGGAGGAAGGTAATGGTGTGCTTTCAGTGGCCGGGACTCGAACCTCGGACCACGTTCAGTATGGTTGGTCAGCACACTCACTCATTAATTCATTTACTCATATGCTTACTTATTAATAATAAAATATTTTTGTTTTCCTCTCTCTTTTTATCAAATTCTTTAATAGGTCATTATCGAAAAATTTATCCTCTGGTTCAGATATAAAAGATTCAACCAAAATGTTGGATTTAGCTTCGACAACAAAAAGTCAAGATGGATTACATGCAACCACAGGGAAATCATTACTGCCAGCAAGTTTAGCACTTACACCCAAGATACAATGTAATATACAATTAAAAGATTTAGAACGTATATGCGTATTGGGTGTTGGCGGTTTTGGTCGAGTAGATTTGGTAAGTTTTTCTACATACATTATTATTATTATTATATATATGTGGAACATAGGGCTTCTTCAACAACACACCTCCACTTTGTTCTGTTTTCTACCGTCCTCTTCAACTGGGTCCAATTTCTTCCTCACACGATCTTGTCTATGTCACCCTCACCCTAGGACGACCCACTCGTTGCTTCCCATTTGGATTCCACTCTAGCAATGGCTTGAATTGCGTGCAATATCATTCGATGGTCTCCTCAACATGTTCCCTATCCATCTCCTTTCTCGCCGACATATTTGTTGAGCAATCGGCTCTTGCTCGGTTGGTGTGTGTTTATTCATCGCCAGAGTTTCTTGTTACTAATTTTTTCTGGCCAGCCAGCCAGCCAGCCATTTGATCTTCAGTATGGAGCTAGAAGTCTGCACTGGCCTTGGTGGAAATGCTTTTTGTGACACGCTGGCCAAGTTTCTGATCCGTATAGAAGAACCGACTTGACATTTGTGTTGAATAGAATCTGAATCTTGTTCCTTATGGTTGAGTGTAGAAGATTTCCAAATTGGTTTCAGGTTGATGAAGGCGTGTGTATCTTGCCTTTCCGATTCTGCCTTACTTGACTGGCTTTGACATCTTCATCCGTTCCCCCCGCCTGTAGTTGAAACGATGCTGACTGTCTAGATAAGTGAAGGCGGGAGGGTAACCTCTAATAAATCTATCCCGTTGGTGGTGATTGGTGCTGGTTTCTGTTGTTGTTGTTGTTGTTGTTGCGGTTAGTTAGTTATCTTCATCATTTCCGTCTTCTACGTGTTCACCTGCAGTTTTCGCTGTTTTCACTACCTCTTCAACCAGTTTGTTGGTTTTCACTTTCATGTCTTTGAGTTTGTGTGACATTAGACATAAATCATCCACTCGGGAAATTCAGATCTTCTAGACTTTTCCCTATCGGTCGTCTAACGTATTCCTGACTCCTCGCCCCCCCCCAACACTCTGTCGCGTTATCCACTTCTCCACAATTAATAATATCATCAGTGATAACCAAGAAGATCCTAGGTGTGTACTGATGAAGAGTCCCAAACTAGTCTGACGAAACAGCTGGTTGTCTAATTGTCCTTTAACCAACCGATGTCAGCTCATGATGAAATCCTCCGACCAATCAACACAAGCGAAATCCCTACAAAATCAATACTTGAAGATCTTCTTGCTTTTATTCAGTATTCGGGTAGTTTCAACTAAGCTGAATCAAACCGGATACACCATTGATGAGGTCTGCCTGTCAACGGGTGAAGTGGCTTTCCAATGTTTAGGTCACTAGTAGTAGTAGCAGTAGTGTAACAACAGAAGGCAAGACACGGAGGCCAACGTATATTTTTCATTAATCAAACCGCTGTTTATATATCTACAGTTTATATATTCGTTAACCAATTCGTTAACTGAGCGTGTGATTTCGGTTTACACTAAACGGCATGAAAGAGAACTATGGGAACATATGAGAACAACATTCCTGTGGCACCCATTGTCTGTATCACACCACCACACTCGTTCCCCCCCCCCACGCCCGTTCGGAAGTTCACATCTCCCTACCTGACTCAGTTTAACTGTCAGGGATTTCATGGATTGATTCCATGTTTTTGTTTGGCCACCACTTACTCTTTTCCAACCTGCACCTATATCTATCAGCTAGTAATGCCCATTGTCGGGGGAGGCGATGGTTAGGCATTCGCAGCACGTGACCTAGCCATCTCAATCTATGTAACTTTATAGCCTCGTCGATTGATTTTCCCTGTTTGCCCAACGCTTTACGCCTAACGTCAACATTACTTACCTTATTAGACCACCTAACGTGAGACAGAGATCGCAGACATCTATGATCGAAAACAGCCAACCTTTTCATGTCTTCAACTCGCAACCAAAAGCTACTGTCTTCGGCAAGTATTTGTCCTCACGGCCAAGCTGCTGTACCCTACTAGTCATGACTTCCCACTAGAACCCCAGTAGGGTACAGTAGGTTGGGTGTGAGGACAAATACTTCCCACTGATGATGACATTGGCTATTGGTGTCAGTCATGCTATGTCGTGAATTGGCAGAAGTTGGAATTCATGCACTGACTGGCCATTTGGATTGGCTGGTCCCACTGGCTTAATGTTCTACAAGCTAGCTTACATTGTAACCAGAAGGTCGTGAGTTAGAACCCCGTGGGTGCGTACTGATGAAGAGTCCTAAGCTAGACTGGCGAAACAGCCGGCTGTTCAGTACTCCCAGTTGATTGTCCACTGGTTTTGTAGCTGACGTCAGCTCATGATGAAAATGCATCCAAATGAAGCATATTCGAAGAAATTTATATTTGCTAAAAGGAGGTGGTTAACAGTGGTGTCTGTACAGATATGGGCTACATCTGATTCGGTAGCTTGTCTATATTCCAGTAAGAGTATAGATTCTTCCCCTATTACCTAGAATTGTATAATAAATAACGTAGTTTTCTATTTTCCTTGAATTACCATGACATACTGTGACAACACAGGGCAAGACACGGAAGTCAAGGTATATTTTCAATTGATTAAACCACTGTCAATATATATCTACAGTTTATATGTATTCGTTAACCAATTCGTTAACTGAGCGTGTGATTTCGTTTTACATTAAACGACATGAAATAGTGTTCACCTATACGCACATAGTATTCTGTTGCTAGTGCCGAATTGCACTGTGGGAACGTGTGAGAATAAGATTCCATCGGCACCCATTTTCTGTATCACACCACCACAGTAGTAGTACTATGTACCGTCACTTGGCTAATTGGTTCTCTTATCTCACGGATAAGTTGAACTTTACCATTTACTTTATTCGTCTGATAAGTTAATTAATTAATTATCGATTTATTTTAGTTAGTTAGTTTAAGGTACAATTTATTGAGTGTAAATACTTCACTTTTATTGATTTAGTACTTAGATAAACTTTTTGATATATTTTTTGTCGTATGAAAAAAATAAATAAATGATTACATGATACTTTGATAATGGTGAACTATGTAACACGCGCACACACACACATAAATATCTGTTTGTCAATAAAACATTTGAAACAACAACAACAACATAATCAAGCCTTAAATGACTTTTGACCATTATTATTATTATTATCATCAGCGGCAGAAATAAGAATAGCCAGTCGGTACTTACTATTATTATTTTTTTTAAACAGAAAAGACTTGGTACACTATGGCACCAAGAAGATGCACTACACAACATTTCATTGATTCCATGAGGGCTGAGATTTACTGCCCAGGCATCCAAACCGAAGCAGGTGTTCATTGTCTTGAGGGACCATTTCCCCGCCCCCCACCCCGAGCCTTTGGCTCAAAGTCTAATCTTCAAGGCAGCGGAGCATGGTTACCGGTGTCCAATACACACACGTTCATACGCTATTTGATCCGATTGGATTCTGGAGCGCCTATGTGCCCCATGGTAACTGCTTTTAGTTAAACCGCCATTCGAACAAACAACCTTCTTGACATGGTAGAACCTGCAGGAGAACATGAGTCCCAGGCAGTTTAACTTGTTGGGGGTCACTGTGGTATATTCAAGTCCAACAAGCACGAGAAGGTAGCAGGTGTCGGCTGGGAGTAGTAGTTACTAGTCAAGGTATTTTATAAAATCAGTTCAAAGAACTTTTACTTGCTGGCAAACTACACGTAGTATTCTCTACACGACCGACCGATGGTGCTAACTCGACTGAAAGATGAAGGTATTGATATAAGTATAAAACTTGGGCACCGTGGTAGAGTATAACTCCATTATGCATAAGATTTTATTTTGATAAATCACACAGTTACCTGGTACAGGACTTTCTGACATAACAGGTTTTGGCCCAGTTTCGCTGTGTTTATTTGCCCAGATTAAAGTAGATGGAGATGGGTTCGAACTTGAGACCTATTCACTGACTCAGAATCACAAGTGACTATAGGACTCATCTGATGAATGAATGCATTTGCAGTCACCATTAAGAACAATTCGCTCCCAACGTTTCTTAGCATCTCAAGAACCTCAACCAGTCGTCAGCTTACAACTTCTTTCATAGCCAAAGCTAACTGGATTCATGGATTCATGAACTGGTGACAGACAGTTTTTGGTTTGACCACGTCTAACTCGTCTCCAGTGTAATTACTACGTTAGATAACATTACTGGATTAGGAAGGTGATGACTAGGGATGTCATTTCAGTCGATATATCTAAACAACTCACATCCCTCTACCTAACACTGTACGCCTAACTTCAATATTATTATTCACCATATATATTGTACCATTTAACATGGGAGGTTGAATGTAAACATCTGTGGTCCTTAGACAGCTAACCTTTTCACATCCCTCATTCTCATTGGTCTCTCGTGCCTAACAGCCATAAAGGGAGGAGGACGTCCATTGATCGATAGTCGGGATGTCACTTTTGTGCTGTAGATGACGTAAGCAACTGTCAAATGCCATACTAGCCTTTTATATCCTTACTGATAACAATAATAATCATGATTACGCAATTATATTTTCTGAATACTATTCACTTGTGACATTTTATTATTATTATTACTTTGTAGGTGACATTAGCCCATGACAGAACTCAAGCCTTCGCTCTGAAACGCTTACAAAAAGCGCATATTGTACAGACACGACAACAAGAGCATGTTTATTGTGAAAAGCTTATTCTCTTATCAGTTTCATCACCGTTTATTTGTCGGTAAGTCAATAGATAATGTGTTATTTAATTTGATTAATTTTTACTAAAGGTATCTTTTGTAGTTTTTGTGTTTGGAAAGATCGATGAATCGCCTCTGTAGACGTGCGTATTTGTCACTACATGTATCTTGACAAATACAATGAGCTAAGGAAGGATATATGAGTGTAGGTAGGCTTCATTTGTGTTCTCAAGGAACTAACCACGAACCTACTGACTAAAGGATATGCAGAAGGAAGTGGAAATGGGTTTTGGAAATACGTGGAGGAGATCATTGATTGACACTACTGACTCTCCAGTTGGCCATTTTAATAGTCCACATCCACTCTATCTGCTCTCGCAAAGATACCCAGCATTTCTAAGCCATATCTAGGCATTTCTTTGGCTATCTGGGCAGCCTTCCCAGCCCAGTCTGATACATTTACGTCCCCATTCTTCTTCTTCTTCTTCTTGCTTTCATCGAGAGAAGACACATAGGCTGGCTGGTTAACTGCCTTCCCGAAGACTGGCTTTCACCAGCCAGCCCGCTGTGTCATTTCGCCTCTCCGATTCGAGCGAAGAATAAGATTTGTTGTTGATGTTTCTCTAGCAGTTTGATAGGTTTAGTGGTGTAGGATTTCCAAACCCACACCCAACCACCCGGGCTTAGAACCGGCCAAAAACAAGCAAGCTAGTGTTAACTAGGCCAGCTTTGGTGTCAGAGGTGATGACATGAAGGAAATCGTGAGAAGAGGAGATGAGAGATTATAGTCAGTTTTGAACCCAACCGAAGAGGATGACAGAACAAAGTGGAGATGTGTTGTTGTGAAGCCCTATGTTCCACTCGGAACCCAAGGGAATACTAACAATAATAATACACATCGAGAAAGCTCTCAAGTGGAACGTAAATAGGGAACAACCAGTTGGGTACAACCGCCCCATGAAAGATTTGGAGGAAATCGTGTGATGAGGAGACGAAAGCTTATAGGTGGTCTTCGAGCCAACTAAAAAAGCCATTTGGAACCAAATGGAACAAAGCAATACGTTCTCAGTGACTTCATATCTTAAGAAAACTTCTATAGTGTGATGATTGATTGGAAATATTTTAGAATTTTATTTAAATTTAGCATTGATTAACCGATGAATAGTGTAATACTACAGTACAATGTGAAGTGTGTTCACATGTATCAAAAGTTGCAAAAAAAAACCCTTTAAAAAAGAATGTTTAAATCTCATTAGCATTAATATTGATTTAAGGCTATCAATTTCACATTGTGTCTTTTTTTCTGGATGGTTTGTAATCACTTTTCAACAGGGTGGTGAGCTATCGTTTGTGTTCTCCTTGGAGAGAGTATCACATCTTCGAGCTTTGAAGTTACTGGCCTCACACACAGTCCTCACCTCCTCTCTTTCTCAGGCTAAGTAAACCAGGAGAGGTTTGGAAGTGCATCAAATGGGTGTGCATGCCCTAACCTTGCTCATGGTTGGCCAACATCCTATCACTGAACTGCTGATGCACATATCCTTTGTATACATTCACACTTATTGCTTTTATAATCCTCCTACCATATCTGGTCATTTGAGCTGAGAAAAAACCAACTATAGTCGTTATTTAGATGACGACAACCATAAACCCAATTTTATTACTTTGTCAGAACAATAAGATAATAATAATAATAAGAGACAGCATTCTTGATATCTGAGGGGAATTACCTTACTGCTTCGTCTACAGACCGCCTGCATAGTGTAAGGGACTTACACTATGATGGCAACAACCTTCTCGGCAAGATATAGAACCTGTAAGAACATTCATTATAGCCAGTGTAGCTTGTTATGACATTTCGAGATGCTCAAGCCTGACCACCATATCATCTTAGCAGCCATCAGTCGGAAGTGTTCTCTGTCGTTTCCAATATTTCTCTAACTGGTGTTGATTCATGACTAAATCTATGCTGAAATTAACTATTTAAGCTTCGATTGTTTTTGATTGATTACTATTTCGAAAGTGTTTCATCCTACACAAATTTCCTAAGGATGTTACATCTTGTTTTAACACCGCCTACAACCGTGTAAGTCTTCTATGATTGGTTTTGTAAGGATTATATTTGTTTTTTACGAGTTGATTACGGATTGATATCATCAGTTAGAGAATCATTGAAAACCGGTACTGGAGTACTGCCAGACAGCTGTTTCATCAGCCTAGTTTGGGAATCATCGGCAGTACTCACCCACCACCAAGGTTCGAACCCAGGACCTTCTGGTCACAAAGTAGGCCAGCTCGTATACATTTAAGCCACTGGGAGCCAATTCAATGGTCTACGAACTGGTAGAAGTTAGAATTCATGGGTGAGTAAGTGAGGAATTGGGTCCCAGTGGCTGAATGGTATACGAGCTAGCTCGGCTTGTAGCCTGAAGGTCCTGGTTTCGAACCCCAGTGGGTTGGAAGTGTACTGCCGATGATTCCCAAACTAGGCTGATGAAACAGCTGTCTGGCAGTACTCCAGTACCGGTTTTCAATGATTCTCTAACTGATGATATCAATCCGTGATCAACTCGTAAAACACCGTTTAAGTATTAATTAAATTATTTCCAGTGGGGGTGTGCTGTTGAAGAGTCCCAAAATAGGCTGACGAAGCAGCTGGCTGTCGAGTACTGCAATGGTTCTCTAACTGATGTCAACTTGTGTTCAAACCAGTAACATTAAAGACTTAACCACAAGCAGTTACATCTCACAGGATAGTGAGTCATTTGTTCGCTATACATATATACACATCTGATACAAAAATACTAAACCCATATTCACCTCATAAAAGTACTTTAGTGTCACATTCATAAATCTGTTAACCTTGAACCTTGTGTATTTTAATGGCTTTTAATCATCATGTCCTTGTCGAGTCAATTCAAATCTTCAGGATATTTTATGATGCGTAGACTTAAAATGACCTGATTAGCCCCCCCCCACTTCCACCTCGTTATAAGTGTGGGCCATGCATAACTTCAAGGTTGGTTTTTGTTATGAACTGGAATTTAAAAACTATTCTTCATTAATAGTTGCTGACTTTTAGGTGTGGATTTTGATGGGATGTTTGCTCCCATGGAATTGGTTTGTAGACATTTGTTTCGGGAGTGGGGATGGAGTAGTTCCCGCCGCTGATTACGTTGGTTGGTGGGTCGTGCTAAAATCACGAATTGGTAGAAGTTAGAATCCATGAGCTGGCCATTGAATGGGGTCCCAGAGGCTGAATGATCTACGGGGTAGCTTGCCTTGTAACTGGAAGGTTCTGGGTTCGAAACCCAGCGGTGGTTTTCGAAGGTTTTTGAACTAATATTGTAACAACCGAAGACAAGGGCCAGGCAACAGATCGTTTATTGAGAAAATCAACAGATATTTATAGATTTTTATGTGCATTATTATTCCTTATTGTTAGCAGAGAAGTAACCTCTTCTGATTGGTTGTTTTCTTGCTCAAGGTTATTCTACCATCTTTTTGCTGCAGTGTCTTAGACAGTCCGGTGATATATCTGTGAATCATATTTCCACACTTTAACCCCGCTGTGATTGGCTGGCGATTTTCTCAAGGCTAAGCTTTGTTATTGTTGTTTTTTCTCTCATAACCCCTTGATTCGGGAATGTGAACATTGAAGTAAATTGTTGTCTACAACTTTTGGCTTGTTCGCAGCCAGCTCTCTCTCTTTCTCTCTCCACAATATATCACTCTGTGATCTAACCCGAAGCAAATAGAATCCCTAGAAATCAATTCTTGAAAATCAATTAAATTAATTAGATTTTCTTTTCATTCGAATCTTCACTTAGCAACACTACACTTGAGTTCAATTACTAATTACCCTAGTGAAGAGAATAAAAAGCATGAGAAATGGTTATAAACTTTAGAAACAAAGAGAGAAAAAAACACTCCAGTACTTAATACTTCCTATTTTCATTCTATGAATTCATCAAATCTATAGACACGTGTGTTCACTTCATTTCCGTGCAACAGATATTGTACTACTAGTGACTGGGCTTATGGAAGTGGGTGTGTATGTGGAAGGTATTTACCTCCAGGCTAAATACAGTGTTTAAATTGATTTCTTCTCGAGGTACCTGAAACAGAAGCTGCACTGCACTGTACTGGACTAGGATTGAGTGAACACGGAGCTCAGGAGTTAACTGCTTGAGGTTGGTTTGAGAAGTCATTTTTCGAGTTGTGTCCGTGTTAAAACTTTACCACCATGGTTGTAGACTACCAGAAAGGCAAGTTGAGATGTAGACTCCACCCCACCCCACCCCACTCTATCCACAGCAGAGATACGGCATACCTGGTTTCGTGGTGATGTGAGAGATGGGGTTAATGACGCCTACAGGGTTGAGGATGACGGTCGGATATCGAACCAGGATCACGTTGAATGGTTTGGACACCATTCCACTATTGAACTATCAACATATGTACAACAATAATATCTGGTTATACAGTGAAATTGTCACTCGACTGACTACAGAAAATGGACCAGAGTTTATTTCTAATTGAGACAAATTGAGACACTGCGAAGTGTTAGCTCTATGTCGTGCGTGAACTAGCGGAAGTTAGCATTCATGGACTGAATGGTCATTGGATCGGGGCACCCAGTGGCTGAATAGTCTACGAGCTAGCTAGGCAGAAGAGTTCAATCTTCCTTAAGTTAGTTTGTGTTCAGAAAGAAGCAGTTACCAGTCTTTCTTTGCCAACCCTCAGTGTAACTGGATATTTTCATCTGATTACATAATGTCGAAAGTTTCCATTGTGTATCATCATTATTGTATGCATATATTGATTGGTTGATTGATTTTTATTTAAAAATGAACTCTCTGGGGTAGAGTGGGTGGGCAAGTATCTTATAATTGTTTCTGTATATATACTTAATGATGACTTTGGCCTGTAAGCAGACGAGGTGAGGAGAAGCCAATGAACGAAATAAACAAATGATGATACCATCTTCTTATTCTGCACAAACCACTGTTGTTATTCTTGTCCTTGCTTTATTCAAATT